TTGTAGCGGGACTCGCAGGATTGGATGGTGGGTTGAACGTAGCCGTAGTAGTCGTAGGCAGCTGTGTTGTGGGTGCAGCAGTGGTGATGCTAGGCGGGGCTTGAGTGGAGGAGGTGGCAGACGTTGTAGCGGGACTCGCTGGATTGGATGGTGGCTTCGACGTAGCCGTAGTAGTCGTAGGCGTCAGAGTTGTGGGTGCAGCACTGGCGATGCTAGGCGGCGATTGTGTGGAGGTGGTGGCAGACGTTGTAGCCTGACTCGCAGGGTCGGGTGATGGCTTCGACGTTGCTGTAGAAGTCGTAGGCGTCAGAGTTGTGGGTGCAGCAGTGGTGACGCTAGGCAGGGCTTGAGTGGAGGTCGTGGCAGACGTTGTAGCCGGACTCGCTGGGTTGGATGGTGGCTTCGACGTAGGCGTAGTAGTCGTAGGCGTCAGAGTTGTGGGTGCACCACTGGTGACGCTAGTGGCTTGAGCGGAGGAGGTTGCGGGCACAGTTGTTCCCTTGGTCGTAGTGGTTGGTTTTGCAGTTGTAGGCTTGGCTGTAGTTGGGAACTTGAACACACATCCTTTGCCTCCATTGGCCATCCAAGAGCATGCCGAGTCCAGTGGCGCAATGCACGCTGTAGCATTGACATAACTTCGAATGCCTGGAAAGCAGTCCTGCGATGTTGTTGCTCCCTTCATCGGACAAACCGTTCCAGCATCAGCCCCACACGTTTTGCCAGTGATGCAGTACGTGGCGTCGCCTTGGACGCTCACGGGGGTGCACTTGACTGGCACGACAATTGTGGCTAAGTTACAACAATGAGACTTTCGTACCCTCCATCGACAATATATGCAGCCATGATGATTACCTGCTGCAAACTCGACGACTTGTACGCTGACCGTCGTGGATGTGACGTCCTTACTGGTCACGAATACAACGACACCAGCTACGAGAGCGGAGGCAGCAACTCCCCAAAAAGCAAGAGAGCAACGTCGGGGTCGCTTTCTGGTCGTAAGCTGACACGTGTTTTGGCCAACGAAGCTGTGATTGCATCGCTCGCTCCCGTACGTCGAGGTAGTGCCAAGAAGCACTGACAGCATAGGAAATAGGTTTTGTCGCAATCGCAACCTTCCACACTTGGTCCGAGATGAAACCGCCCCACTCAAATGCAAAACCGTCGATCTTTTAACACTGGCTGGAACCCCTTCAAAACTCATCGTGTACGTACATACAGTGTAGTTCTATGTAAGTATATAAGTCGTCTAAACTTAGTAATGTGCGTTGAGTTTTGTAACATAGTAAGCTCCATACTATCTATAACTACGTACTACCTTTCGAGCACATCTAACGTTATACTACTTAACCCCGAAGTATTTCATAAACTAAGAATCGGCAGATAAATTAAGCCAACCAGATGGCAGAAACCAACATGAACGTCCAATTAGTGTGTGACTTCAATTAGTGTGATACCAAGCTTTACCACACGACCCTTTTTACATACCGGTACAAAATCTAAAACAAAGCATCGACCGATAGATTTGGCGATTCAGCACATGTTTCGATGTGGTGCGATCATCCCACTTCATCGTCAACATTCTGTGCGCTACAAATTGAACTTCAAGGGCTGCCCTTGAGCCATCTGATGAAATTGGTATATCATCGCAGACCAATTCCCCGAGTGGGTGGGTGACACACCCACTCAATGGACAAATGCCCACTCACTTAGGGAATTTGGTACTATTGGCCTAAAACGTCCCTGAGTAAGTGAGTGGGACTAATTGCTTGCTACGATAAGTCCAATCCTGAGGTACTAGGAGTACAATCCTAAGGTTAACGTTAAACACCCTTACGAAGGCAAACAACGTTGTACAACGTTAATCGTACCAACGGTGAATACGTACAACTACCACAGTATAATACTGCTGAAGTAGTGTTAACTGTAAACAGTACTTCACAGTCAGTAGTATTATACTGTAGTAGTATTCACTATTCTATGTAAGCTGCACCATTGCTGGTAGTAATTCGTGGTAATTCCTCCGAGTAGTAAATCGATGGGATTTGAATACCTCATCACTTAAATTAACCTTACACCACACAAGGCGACAGCAGCCATGAGTAGTCTATTGGGGAAATATAATTAATGTCACTAGGCTTAGTGGCAGTGATATACCACACACGAACGACGAAAGTATAGTTCGACAAATACAAATGTTCCTTATACTTTGAAGTAATTCGGAGCATCAATCTACACAAGCACCCCTCCAACTTTTGTATTTAATTTTCAGTGATCTACGCGTAGACTTCAGTTGGTTGTCGGGGTTCCTAATATCGTTTCGAAGAATATGTACCAGTATATATATATTTGATGGGCACAATCGGATTCGACATCGCTTACACTATGCAAGGCAGAAATGGGGTGCAATTCAATCAATGTAGAAGTGATTGAAGCTCTTGAGTTGGGTTCTTTGAGTTCGAAATTGAATTAGTGTGATTTGTTGGATTAAATCTAAGCTTATAGTCGTCGATGAAGGGCTTAGTGTAGGGCTGCGTAACTACTATTCATCACACAAACTCAAATATTCTGTTAATGTATTTCAAAGCACAAATTAATACGTCACACAACAGCCCCCCGCCCGCCCTTCAAATCAAGTGCATCGCTAGTATATGTACAGTACGTACTGTACAAATATGTAGTTGGGGTTGAGGCTGTGTTCAGTTGGTAAAACATTTTATATACTACAGTAGTTGGTGATGTGTGGCTTAATGTCGGTCGGGCGTAGGATGATGTGCTTTGTGTTAGGTGATTGTGGGTGAGGAAGTTACATGCGATCTCCATAGCATGTTGCGCATTACACTAGTGTAATAGCCACGATATCAATTCTCCAGGATATCGAAACTTCGAAACCTTGTTATCTTCGGGGGATGTTGCTCCTATTAATAACAATATATTGACATAAAAACTGCCAGCTTTAGTGATGATAGGATACAATGTTGTGAGGTCTATAGGTTGATTTGCTGTGTAATTGCGCGATGAATACATATTTGCCCCCCTCAAAGTACAGTCCAGGATTCAATATAGTTATGGGGAAGGACTTTGAAATGTGAAAGGGGTGGCGCAACTACGATGCAATCTATCCCAGCTAACGTTACACCTCAAATCAGCACCAAACTTAAATGCCGAATATTTCGAAGTATTAGTATAGTGTACAGTACCAGCCCCCTTCACTTATAGCTACAAGTACTGCAGTTGTTCACCTAATTATTTCGTTTAGAATCTCGTAGAGTACTCAATTATGCGTATCGTATGTCGCTAGTAAACACACACGCCTTGCATCAACTGTCGATGGAACGGGAGGTCATCAAGGTTTCAAACTATATATTCACTACAACTACCAAACGTTTGAAAATCACGTGAAGCTATATTCAAGTAATGTACAGTATAATCATAGACTAAATTTCTGTACACTAGTGTGGTAAAGGGCAGAGACAACCACCCGTCGGCTGAAACGATTGGCCATGATCAAAACTACAAATGCTACAACAATCTAACCTCAAATAATGCAAGCCATAGTTTTGTTGGAGCAACTGAACTACTGTACAGTATAGCCGTAGAGCCGCTCGCTCAGGAAATCACTGCAATAGATAAATTTGTCATATTCACATGCACAATCAAATTGTAAACAATGAATGTGCGGGTCGACACTTGATAATTCGCAACGTGGAACAATGCTCATCAATAGAGACATTTAGCACGACCGGAATTTGAAATTCCTGAAACAAACTTCGGGTTACACACGCCTTCGAACTTCGGCGACGTCAAATTCCGCTGGGAATTTGATTCAAATACACGAAATCTGGAGTCGATTCCGTACTGTGGTACACGAATATCCCTGAAGCCCACAGACCAATCAATGTATTGAATTTGTACATATGTTATAGCGTGCTGTATTGGCCACCTCAAGCACCTTCAACAGAGTTCAAGTTGCTTGCGATGGCCAATTCAGCACGCCGTGCGCTGTCCAAGTACATATACTGGACTGAAGACATTGAACTCGCCATTCTTCGCGAAGCAATTCGGGTGGAGCCATTTGCTGCCGATCATGGTGAGCTTTTAGCTCGTTGGACGTTGGTGGCTGCCGCCGTCGCAGAGCAGGAGCCACGAGTCACCCCACGTGCAGCCCGCGAGCACGTTCATATGTTGCTCAAGAAATTCAAGGCAGACGACCAGGCCCAGCGACTCTCCAGTGGAACTGCGGAAGAAGTGACCGAGAAAGTCCAGCTCCTCCAAGACATTGCGATGCGGATGGATGAGGTGGCGTCGTCCAGGACGATGAAGAAGACGAAGGAGACCGCGAAGCGAGACTTGCTGGAAACAACTGGCGAGAAGCTTTGCCGTGAAGCAGAAGTTCGAGTTGCAAAGCGATCAAGGACATCAACCGGTAGCGCAAGCGATGACCTGGGTGAGTCAAATCTGACAGAATTGTTTGAGTTTGAGAAAAAGCGCCACAATGACGAGCACGAGTATCGCATGGAGCGTCTCAAACTCGACAGAGAGGAGCAAGTACTGCGTCGTGCACAAAGCATGCAAATGGAAAACATTGTAGGAATTTTAGCTCAATTCATGAAGAGTCATCAACAAAAGGACAACGAGACGTAATATATCTATATTACTATTTCGTTAGACACCAATAAGTACTCTTCTAGTGTTGGCGGCATCAACCCAAAGTACGAACTATTTGTGTTTCCTCGACGAGCACAAGTTACACAATTCGTCAACAACACTGCGATCTTGTAGATTTTCGAGGAAGGGCCACAACCTAACTTGACCTTTTTCTTGAAATCGACAATAGGCCAGTACTGTAACACTTGACCATAGGACCATTCGACACTGACACGAACTCGGCTCATGCTGGCATTGATCGTCTTCTGCGCAGCAGTCAAATTGGCTCCACCAAATGGCGAGGCAAGTTGATTCGAACGGCCATACGCGGGATCGCCGTAAATCACGTAACCGGCAAAGCGGATGTCGGACGCAATGAAGTTTTCCAAACTTGATCTTCGCAGCATCGTAAGGTCGTGACGTCTTCCTTCAATGGGCCCAAACACGTGCGAAATGATTCCGTCAGGGGTCACCACGGTCTGGAACTTGATAGCGTGGCGCCGCTTGTGGCCGTAGTACATGGAACGCTGTTCGACACCACCACTTGGATGGCAGCATTCGCGAACGGTGCCATCGATAAAGCCCCAAACATTGTGTATCTCGGCACCACGTTGGACAACGGCACTGCAAAACTCATCGAGCCCACCCG